GGGCAAACTTGTCAGTGTTTGCTACTTTGTACAACCATCTACACCTCCAGCCACAAATTAACTCTTCCTTATCAATGAATGATCTTTCTGTACTTCTGGGGAAAGCATCAATTAAATAATTAGGTAATTAGGTACCTAGTGTTTTTGACATTTCTTTTTAATTCCTGTTAATTTCCTCTTAATGGATAGGTTATACCCCCTCTGCAGGGAGAATACTAAGATGAGAAAACTAAGTCGATAACTTTAAAATAAGGATTTAACCTTTATAAATAAGCCGGCTAATTTTAGACAAACTTCTGTCCCAGGAGCTGAAGAAATAAAAAATGAACTTAATGTTTTTTCAGCTCCAAAGCAAGTGACAATTATGTGATAGCAAAAAAGGGAAACACACATTGTTTAGATGGAATTGCATTTAAAAAAACCTTGCCAATAAATAAAATAAAACGGGAGCACTAGTGGACTATTGAAATCAGAAGGAAAGCCATACCCTATTTAGACGTACTTTTGTAAAGCTTGTGAAAATGTTTTCATCTCTCTGAATTATCATATTATTGAAGTTGGCATGGGCCTGTGTAATATAAATCAGAAGAGCAAACAGCATTGAATTTAGAGGCAACATCTACAAGGAACAGAAACTAGTGTCTTAGTAAAATAGAATATATCTCCTGGGTGACATATCTTGCATGTTCTTTTGGTATAATCTGAATCCTGAGCAAAAGGCAAAGAGGGTGCTTCTTACTCAGCAGCCTTCCAGCCTTTAGGTTCCTGAAACCTTTCTTCAGATGCTGTTATTGGTGGTTGTTAACACTCATCTTTCCACCACTCCATTTTTCTCACTCATAATTATGGGTTGAATGTGCGCATTCCTTGATTATCACCAATATGAGAATGAGATTAGTAGACCACTCTGTCTCGTTAGCAGTTAGATGAGGGCCTGGAATTGCCGGTGCTTAATAAATATTTTTAGTGAATGAGTCACCATCCTAATATCAAAGCCTTTACTATATTAAGCTCTAGGGTGGAATTTGGGGCAGGTAGAGGGTGGGAAGTTTCTAAAAACAATTTTTGTGTGATACAAATAAAAACAAATGAAAGCAACACTGGCATTTGATCCTCTAAGACTTTTAAGGTAGGACTTTACCTACATTTTAAAAAATGATGCCTAGCTCTTAATATTGTGTCTGCTCAATGCTTTCACCTCATTCACAAAATTTATTAAATGTTTATGCTTTAATTGTCTGACTGATAACAAGTGAACAACTTTGTATATGTGTGTGTATGTGGCTTTCAGATTTAGATGTTTCCCTGTTTTGCAGCTACTATGAAGTTACATAGCATCAGAAACTTATTTTGTTATAGTTGAGGTATGAGTTAAAGGAAGGAAATAATGTGCACTGGATATGCTTACTAGAGCAGCGGTTGCCAACCAGTTGTCCGTGGAACACTAGTAGTCCATGAAGTCTGAAATGTTGGTGACCGCAGTACTAGAGGACCAGTGCACGAAATTTGTGCACTGGTAGGGTCCCTAGCAGCTGCCAGCCAGGGCCTCCCTCCCTTACCCTGACTGGCCCCACCCCCTGGTTGAACTCCAGGTCGAGGGGACAATTAAAATACTATGCTTTTATATAGGATGTCCCTTGAGAGCATGCTATGCAAAAATGATGCTTTCCATTTTTATATTCCTCTAGATTTTCACTTCTACCCCTATCACAAGAAAATATCTACAAATGGTTCTACATGCCATTTAGCTGGTCTTGAAAACACTCAGCATTTATCAGCATGGAGCAATATAAAATAAGTAAAATATAAAATCTTCTGCCTGCATAAAGTTAACATTTCAATAGAGAAGTTGGACAAAATAATATCTGAGGCTGCTAACACAAGAATGTGTAACTAGGATGGGCTGCAGTGAGCCCAGATCCAGAGGGTTGGCTTGAGTCACTACAGTCACGGGTGCGGTGATGGTTTGGAGACCCATAGACCACTAAAAGTTGGGAGTATACCAACCTTCTCCAGTCTTTGTGTGACAGATAGTCTTTTATTTCTCATTAAAATGTTAACAATACACATACAAATCTTAGATTTTTAATATTTATATAACTAAACAAGAGTATTTTTAATTATATACCCTATATAATGAACCTATCATATATATATAACATAAGGTGCATGAAACATAGGCAAGATTAACTTAAAAAATAAACATATTAAGAATACTTTCTTATTGCCATGTTTCAAGGTACTACCTATAATCCCTCCTTAACACCTTGAGTTTATTTCTTTGTTTGTGCCAAGCCTACGTAACACCAAAGCACACTTATAAAAGCAATTATTTAATTATGAAAGGTAATAATAGCTGGGGAACCTGTACCTGAAATCACATACTTCTCTTTATAAAACATTTCTTAAAAGAGAAAGTTATTTGTTCATGTTTAAATTAGGGTAGGTGAATATAACTAATAAAGGATTGTTTCTCACCATGTTATCATCCAGTCCAAGTTAGTGTTGGTGGTAGTGGGGCAGGTATTGAGAGCCTTGGCTCTCCCCAGTCATTTAGGAATTCTGGCTTCTTCCACTGAGTGGCATCATTGCCAATCAACGCCTTGGAGGCCCCAGTGAATCCTCTGCGTCTGGCCTGTAAGCAAGAGGAACGTGTGGAGGATTACATTGGAGGGTATTTCAGTGCAAGTCCAGAGGTCCTAGCTGTCACTTCTGACCATCTTTCCTCAGCTGGAATTTAATCACATGGTTCCACTTAAGGGAGCCTGGAAATGCAATCTAGTCTTGTGCCCTGGAAGGAAAGGAGTCGGGGTTTGGAAACCCCCAGCACTGTCTCTGCCACAGTGATTAAACATAGTGCATTGGTTTAAAATTTTCTGGTTTTTCATTACACTTCGAAAGTTTCCAACTTAACACAGTCAGTGAATCAAATGAAAAATAATAATAACCAAAAACATCACAAGAAGGAAGACCTATCAAGTTAATTGGTCATGTTGATGCAGCTATTTTTAAAGAAATGGCTGTCCAAAGACAGGTCCATCTGAAATGAAGGGAGACTTAATTCAGTGTCCCAAATCTAGAATGAGATGAGATAGTGTGAAGAGTTGGCTATCAGGGCAACACATTAACTAGCCATGCATCCTTGATTAAGCACTCACTTAACTTCTCTCGGACTTGATTACATCCTGTGAAAAATGGAGGTAATACCAAACAAAATGATGTATTTGAAGGGCTCTATAAAATATTAATTTCAAAACAAATTTTATTTCAGGCTAGTTTCATTAAGGAAAAATTACCTCCAAGACCGCTTCTGCCGTTCACCCATGACTCATGAATTTTCACTTGGCCCAGAGTAGCTGGGGAATGTCTTTCAAATATTGTAAAATCAGGGTTGATCTGAGGTAACCTTTGCTGCTGTTGGAAGTATGTGGCTGAGGAATAGTTCAAAAATAGCAAGTTATTTATTTGAGGAAGAACATATGTTCTGTAATAAGTATTCTAAAGAATAATTTCATAGCATATTTAATCACATTTAAAGTGCCTTGATTCCTGTAATTTGTTCCCTGTAGTACTTTGATAAGAATTTTTAAGTGTTTTGTTAAGTGCAGTAGCACCACATTGAGTACTGTTATACGTGGAATCACATTTTATGAGTATCTCTTATCACCCTCTGTGAAGGAACACTATGCCATGAATAATCAAAATTGGAATACACAGACTAAATATTTATATGTTTAAAGTGTGTTTTGCAGAATTATGAATGCTTGCTTATACACACACATACATATAAATCTTAGGGCCATTACAAGAGGCTTGATTCATAAGTCAAACAAATAAACAAGCAGTCCTTCTTTGCTTTGTAATGACCTACTGGTCATGTCTACCAGGAGTTTGTCGATGGGTTCATTCAACAGACACTTGGAGGTGGAGTCGTATGGAGTAAGGTAGGTGTTTTCAGGATTTTAACAAAAAGAAGCCATAGCTTCCTTCAGGGAACTAACCAGTTAGTTGATATCATACATAGAAAAAGACAAAATGTAGTCAGAGGCAGTATTTTTGCAAGGAGTCAGGAGACATAAGTGGTATAAATGTGGCCGAGTAAGATTCCTTTCAGATTGGAGACGAGGGAAAGACAGTGTCAAGAAGGAACATTTTTGTTGGTTCTTGGAGGATGAATAGGATTCAGCCGTGTGACAAGCATGTCTAGGACTTCAGGCAGGGAGCATGGATGACCAAGACACGGGCATAAGAGAGGAGCCATTTGAAATGAGTAAAAACATGGATTTGGTTGGAGAATTGGATACATAAAAATAATGGGAAGCCTCTGGGCTTGGAAGCATAGGTGTGTCCATAGCCTGGGTAGCCTTGGAAGCCAGGCAGTGTCACGGACAGCTTTGATGAGACATTGACGAGTTTCTACAATAGAGTGAAGTGATCAAGGAGAGCTTTGAAAACATTATCTTAAAAAAAATTAATTGCTTAGGTGACTTCACCATTATGGTGGCTTTTTAGAAACCTTGCCATCCTGGTAGATACAGGGCTTTTCTTCTCTTAATAACTTGAAGGGCTGATTCTCTTCGCCTGGGTTTTTATATTTTCATTTCTTTTCCCTATGTTGAGTATTTGAAATTATTATACAGTGTCCTCTATGGTAAGGTTCCTACATAAAATAGTAATGCTGTGACTTAATTAGCAGAAAGTAATAATGATTCTGACTACACGGAAAGTAGAGTACTAGGTGAAGTGAGGGATGCACGAAAATATAAAGACATGATATTATAGTAACAACATTGCATAGCATTTGTGGAGTGGAGTAAGTGAAGTCAAAGACATACAATTTTGTGTAGCTTAATAAGATATGAGTCCTTAGGCAGTTTTGTCATTTTATTGACATCACAGAGTGCACTTACACTAACCTAGATGGTCTAGCCTACTACACACCTAGGCTATATAGTATAACATACTGCTTCTAAGCTACAAGACTATAGCATGTCATTGTGCTGAAGACTGTAGGCAATTTTAACACAATGGTAAGTGTTTGTGTATCTAAACAAATCTAAACATAGAAAAGGTATGGAAAAATCTACACTAATAAAAGAGAAACATGGTAATTGGCGTACGACCGCTACCCTTTTCATTGGCTAATCAGTGAGTATATGCAAATTAACTGTCAGCCAAGATGGCAGCCAGCAGCCAGGCACTGAAGCGAGCAGGGAGGCTTGCTTGCTGCAGACTCCAACGTTCCCCGCCTCACTTGCCCGCCTCTCAGTTGCAACTCTAAGCAACTATATACTATGTTGCAAATAAGAAGCTAAACAAAACCCCAGAAAAGGGCTTCCATTCAGCCGGGCTCGGACCGCAACATTGTATCTATGTTTTCAGCAGCGAGGCCTCAGAGCTAAAGCTGGCCCAGAAAAAAAAAAAAAAAAAGAGAAGAAAACAAGGAGCGGTTGGAAGCTTTAGTCACTCGCCAGCCGGAAAACAGCCCTCAGCCCCTCACCCAGACTGGCCAGGCACCCCAGTGGGGACCCCCACCCTGATCCAGGACACCCTTCAGGGCAAACCAGCCAGCCCCTACCCATGCACCAGGCCTCTATCCTATATAGTAAAAGGGTAATATGCCTCCCAGCACCGGGATCAGCGGAGCAGCGAGGCTCCCGGCACCGGGATCAGCATGACAGGGGGCAGCGCCCAAACCCCCTGATCGCCCTGCGGCTCTGTGTGTGACAGGCTGCGGCGCCCCAACCACCCCCCCCCACGGGCCCTGCCCTGTGCCTGATAGGGGGGAGCTCCCCAATCCCCTGATTGCCCTGCGCCTCTG